TTTACATATTAATTTTCAATCATATTCATACAACAAAATATTTTAAACGTAAATTCAAAATTTTTCCTTACTTTTTAACCACTATCTCCTAGAAATTACTATTTAAAACGTTTTTTTAAATAATGATTGTCAAATAGGGGCTGAGTCGAATTTGAAAAAAATTAGAAAGAAAATTAGGATTAAAATATTGCTATTGTAATATTGAATATGGTTACATATATTATAGAAAATTGGCACAAATAGCCCCTAATATATAGGCTGCAAATGGTTCGATTATTTCATTCTTGGCAATAACCTCCTCATCCCTATTGATCTTGTGCGCAATGGTCCTTCCTACCTTGAAGCATTATAAATTCTATAGAGGTCAAAAATCTTATTAATCTATTTGTGCAACAGATTTACCTATTCATTTATAATTTATACGTCATATACTTTATATATTATATAGTTAGTCACAGGTCATTCATATAAGGATGGTAAATAAAATCAGTTGATTCGAGACCTGCGGCTCCCAACCAGAATAGAGGCAACAATTCCTCAACTCATCGTGTTGGTTTCCACATTCATGTTTGGGGTAAAAACCTTGCCTCAAGATTGGGCGGGTACCGATTGCGCTTCCCCCAATCCCCTTTAGTATTATTTAAAAAGAAAAATTAAATTTTAAAGAAAAAAATAAACACAAATATGTGTAAAATATTAAAAAGGGAAGAATTGAGTGCCCTGCCCCCTCCCTCCCACCGAACCTGTTGCGCCCTCTTAAGTGGGTGGGGGCACACATGGGAATAAAAAATCTTTGGGTGCCATATCTTTTCCTATGTAATTTTTATTGATTTTTCGAGTTCATAAGCGTTTAAAGTCAAAATGCAACATTAGAAAATTCAGTCACATTTAATTTAAACAATTAAATACTGAATGATAATATACATTCATATAAGAAGTCTAAGCACGAAAACGGTCACTCGATTAGTGTTATTAAAACTAACGATCATCATAGTAAGTTACTAGCTTTTATTGAAAAAAAGTTCGTAAATCTATCTTTCGTTTATCTCTAACCTTATAGTCTATGGATTTTTTCCCCCAACTGATTGAATTTGACGGATGAAATAATGGTTCAATTTATCACTTAACGACGTCACATTATATTTTACATTATTATCATTAATCGTGTGGTCAATAGTGAAATTATTATAAACTTAATATAAGCATAGAAATTAAAATCTGGATTTTAATCTAAATCAAATTCAATAATTAATTTTAACAACATATTTTATGAGCTGCACAACTTTTCAACCACACATTTCATCAACTTTTATCAAAACTTACTAAAAATCTGATTTTAATCCCCAGCAGATAGGGGCTAACTAAATAGGCAAGACATTTTTTTAGTGACCTATGTGATTTTTTTCACAAACTTTAGTGACCATTGTTGTAATTAACTCAATTGAAGTCCCGTTCAAGTCCACGCGTTAAGCGTTGTTGGCTTGTTGCTATCAAAGATTTCGTTGCAACCGTTTCTTTGTTTGAAACAAATAAATGTAACGTGGGAAGTACGAATTTGAAATTGAAAGCACAATTGTGAATAGTTTTTAAATTTTAGAACTATTTTTAAAACTTTAATTTTCGTAAAAGGGTTAATTTCACAAACGGTCACTGAAGTTACGTCAAAATCAAAAAACGATCATTAAAGTTTAAAACTTGCACCAACGGTCACTGAAGTGTCATTTGGTTGCACAAACGGTCACTGAAGGACCTTTTCATTTTAATTGGAACTTAAAGGACCAAAATAGTTGACATTTGAAACTTGAAGGCTTAGCGTCACAAATTTTACAATAAAACCCTCCAATCCCCATTTCTTATTCTTTGAAACGACCTGAGAAGAATGGAAGCGGGAGGAAATTGCTGAACCAAGGTGGAATTGTACCCTCCATACGGTTCCACGACAAATCCAACAGTCGCATTTTGTACACCCACTCAACCACTGAGGAATTATACCCGTGAGTCTGCAGTTGGCAATAACAAGAGCCTTGAGCCCAGTCAATTGATGGTAATGGAGGTGGATACCAGTACATTCAAGACTTCTATGAAATTTCTGAGGGCAGCCTGAACCTTAAAGTGTAGTGTAGATGGTGATATTTTCTTTTGATGTTGACACTGGTTTTGTGGTGTCACTAAAGTGGGGTCGATTAAGCAATGTATTTGAAATTTTTAGGTCAATTAAGTCAGCCTCTAGTCTGAGTTTGTGCTGGTTTAATCTTGTATCAGTCATCTGAATTTGTGCTGGCTTGATGTTGAGTGTAGAAAGTGTTGTGGTGTATCAGGTGCTATATTTGTGATGGATCAGGTGCCATATTTGTAGAAAGTGTTGTGGCTTAATTTTGAGTAATTTAGTTATGAATGTGAAGGCATATCTGTAGGTTCATCAATCAAACAATTGATAAAAACAATAAAACATCATCTTGACTCACAATATCTCTAGTTTGCACTTGAATTTTACCTAATTACAGCAAAGCAGTGAACTTGACTGGGTGCTGGTTTGATAAAGTGTTGGTGTGGGGGACTTGTTTGTGGTGTAATACAATCACACAGAGAAATGAACAAACTAAGTGCAAATATCGTATTCAGACTTGCAACAAATGGATTAAATTCCCATTCCATCAAATAGATAAAAAATCAGCAAAAAATAATGCAAGTTTTTGAATCTACAACAATGACTCTTAGGCAGCAACTAAAGAAGTAGACATTAAGCCAATTCCAACTCCCAAAAATGGTAGCAGAGCAGTGAGTGAAATATCACTCATAATCTTCCACATTACATCAAAAAACGAACAATGACAAAAACTAAATGGTCACTTTCAAAATAGAGTTTGAAAAGAGGATTTGATTATTTGGGTTCTTGATTGGAAGCTTAACTTAAGAATTGGGAAGAATTAATGGGATGATATTTAACATGATTTCACCTAATTTCGCTCCCAAAATAGCTTCCATCTCCTCAAGTCGTGTATAAGCCAGTAAGAAATAGGGATTGGGGGGTTTTATTGTAAAATTTGTGATTCAGGCCTTCAAGTTTCAAATGTCACTATTTTGGTCCTTTAAGTTCCAATGAAAATGAAAAGGTCCTTCAGTGACCGTTTGTGCAACCAAATGATACTTCAATGACCGTTTGTGCAAATTTTAAACTTCAGTGACCATTTTGTGATTTTGACGTAACTTCAGTGACCGTTTGTGAAATTAACCCTTTCGTAAAATCATGCACAACTTTGATATACCTTCGCACTGGCAAATAAAATATCTATTTTTTTTTTCTCTTAAACGACGTTCATCTCGGCTCTCTTCGTTGGCTTCTCTTTTTACATCTTAAAACGAAAATGAAAAATTTAAGCTTTTTTTGTTTTTTCATTTTTTGTCATGTTTGGTCTGAATTAAAATATAAAGTCAAATTCAACAATTAATTTTAATCACACATTTCATTAATTTTTATCAAAATTTACAAAAAATCTGATTTTAATCTCTACCAAATAATGGAAAACAAAAGGGCTACAGGAGAAATGCTCCCAAATGGCCTATGTATTTAGTCCCTGTTTGATAATTTAACTTAAATCAATAATTAATTTTAATTTTAATTATATATTTTATGAAATTCACATTTTTAATTACATATTTAATTAATTTTTATCAAAATTTACTCCCTACACCGACGGCAGATTAGTCACCAAATGTATCCCTGCGCAAATGCAACCAGCCTAAGGGCATGTTTGGTAGGGATTCTCATTTTCTATAGTAAATCAATTCTCATTTTCAACCACACATTCTTCAGTAAAATAATATTTTCCATCACATCAATAATTTTTTCTTCTTTTTCAACCACACATTTCCCATCATATCACTATTCAAAATCAAAAGCAACGTTGGCAAAGAAACAAATAAATGTAACGTGGGAAGTACGACTTTGAAATTGAAAGCACAATTGTGAATAGTTTTTAAATTTTAGAACTATTTTTAAAACTTTAATTTTCGTGAAATCATGCACAATTTTGATATACCTTCGCACTGGCTCTCTTCCTTCTCTTCGTTGGCTTCTCTTTTTACATCTTAAAACGAAAATGAAAAATTTAAGCCTTTTTTTGTTTTTTCATTTTTTGCCATGTTTGGTCTGGATTAAAATTTAATTAAAATATAAAGTCAAATTCAACAATTAATTTTAATTATACATTTCATCAATTTTTATCAAAATTTACAAAAAATCTGATTTTAATCTCAACCAAATAATGGAAAACAAAAGGGCTACAGGAGAAATGCTCCCAAATGGCCTATGAGTGTGTTCGGTAGAGATTAAAATCAGATTAAAATTGAAAAACTAGCCGTTATTGTTGACTTTTATTAGACGAGTTGGACCCAATAACGACTATATTTTCAATTTTAATTGGATTTTAAGTTGTACCAAACATGCTCTATGTATTTAGTCCCTGTTTGATAATTTAAGTTAAATCAATAATTAATTTTAATTATATATTTTATGAAATTCACATTTTTAATTACATATTTAATTAATTTTTATCAAAATTTACTCCCTACACCAACGGCAGATTAGTCACCAAATGTATCCCTGCGCAAATGCTACCAGCCTAAATCTCAATTTCAGGCTTCATAATTTACACATTTAGCCCCTGTTTGTCTATCATTATTCTAAAAAATTATTTTCTACAGTGAAATTCTCCACCACACATTCACAAAATAAAATATTCAACATATAAATCAATAAAATTACTTCAAACACACAATCTCCAAAAAATACTATTCATTCCTATATTTTATTCCCAATAATGGGAGACACACCCTTAAATGTCTTTCACATCAACACCTTCTTCTTTGTCTTCTTCTGTTACAGAGAGAAATAGAGTTTTAGATTTCGTCCCCATAGAAAAGAGGGCGTTGTGTGTGTGACTGTGTGAGAGGTAGAGCCGTGGAGCTGTTTCTTGGGTTTCTGAGAGATTAAGGAAAAAATGGAGTCTTTGCTTATTTGGTCTTTTCAGAAGCCTCCATCTTCACTTCATTTTCCAGCCACTGCAGAACTATATTCACTCCCCACTGGTATGTGTGTATCTATGAACTACACACACAACAACAATTCTCGGCAATTCTTATAAGTTCTGGGCTTTACTCTGTAATGTGTACCTTATTTTTCTCTGATTAAAGGTTTGTTTTTAGTAATTTTATTCACCGTGTTCATGTTACATAATACTACATGGGCTTTATTTATTTCTCAGAAAGAATGTATTTTTTTCTGCTTTTCTGTTTTTTATTCAGTGGCTCATGTGAATTTCTGCTAATGTTTCTTATGTTCATGTTCATTTTATTTATTCAATTTTCTTGTGTCCTTCAATTTTAGTCATCCCGTGCTATGCATATATTTTGTAAATATTTGTACATAATATTTGTGTAATTGACAGATGCATGTTTGTTTCTGGAAAGGGCTTTCGAAATCAATCCTTTTAATGCTCAATATGTCGAAAAATTATAGGTTCTCGTGTAGAAGCTCAATATTGTAAGTGCAAAGCGTTGGGAAACCCAGAAAATAACCATGTCATACCCATGAGATTACAGTGGCACAGGCAGCTTGCAACGCAGCAGTTTGTTAGAAATAATGTTAAAAGAATAGTTGCATTAAGTCCAAGATGCAGATCAAAATATCTGGTGAATGCTACTTCTGAACACTCTCTTGAATCCGAACCTTCCAAGAGCCGTGGGAGATCAATTCAACATGCATTGAATGCTTTCTACAGGTTTTCACGGCCTCACACAGTAATAGGAACAGTTAGGTTCAATATTCTAGCCAATTATATATTTTTCTTTTCTGAAGTTATAGATTACAATTGTTTTTCTGTTGAGTTTTCTGAAGAAAAGGGAAATTTACTGCAATTCATTTCTGTGCAGGCATTGAGCATCATTTCAGTTTCTCTCCTTGCAGTAAAAAATCTCTCAGATTTTTCTCCATCATTTATCACTGGGGTGTTAGAGGTATGGAAAAGTTTGGGTCAGTTAGAATTGGAAGTGAAGTTGGTTGATGCTTTATTTATGAAAATAATATTTTTATTGCAGGCCGTTGCTGCAGCCCTGTTGATGAACATATACATTGTGGGTTTGAATCAGCTGTCTGACATTGAAATAGATAAGGTTAGCATGTGAAATAACTGTAGTTGTTGTCTGTGTATGAAGAAACTCAGAAAATTATGTGTCAGTTTGTGAACGGAAAATTTAGTAGCAACAAATATACTTCTTCCTGAAGATTTTCTTACATTACTAGAAGTGTACAGTTTTCAAATTTGAAGATTAAAATTAAATGTTTTAGCATTTCTGGTGCAGAACAAACTTACCTACTGAACATCAGTTATGTTTTTCATGCACGTAAGTTGAACAATGTTGATTGTTTCTATTTGTTGAACCTGTTCAAGTGGATGATATATAGTAATCTTGTCATATGTTTGACTTTTTTGAATGGGTGAGCTCAAATACGACGAGTTCTGCTTTTCATTTTTGAAGCCGAATACTATTCAATAACCCAATTTAGGAGTCAAAATGACAATTATCTGAGATGAGACCTAGGATCTGAGGTTGAAATGACAGTTATACAATTAATGGCAGCAGGTATTTGGATCTACTAGGCTTGTGCAATTTAGAATCTAACCAGAACTAGCAATATAGGGTTCTGTGCCAATGAGGTAATATATTCCTCCCAAGTATGCTACTTCTGTCCCTGATATGGGCTGTCCTCTTAAAATGGAAGATTGAAATCTTTGTGAAAATGGACTATTGTTTTATGTTTTTAAAGAAACTTCCCTTGTCAAAAATTTATAGGTCGGACGACCGAGGTTTAATTCTGTCCCTCGCCTTTCATTACACAAAGTAAACTGAAGAGGGGATATTATGTAAAATCTGGTGTTAGTGACTGCTTTTCAACTTTATCACCTTGTCAAGTTTCTAAATATTTTTCGGTATAGATATCAGATATGGGATACTTACAGCTGTCCGATACTAGGGAAATTATGTATCAATTGTCATTTTTTTCCTATTAACTTTTGCGTCCACTAGTATAAGAAATTTCTGTGGTGTTTCTCAGGTAAACAAGCCATATCTTCCATTGGCATCGGGAGAATATTCAGTCATAACTGGAGTGATGATTGTCTCATCTTTTGCCATGTTGGTAAGTCGAAGAGATTTCGTTGGGTTTGGGTATACTAACATTTTGAAGTTGTATTTAGTAAAAAAAATAAAAAATACTAATATAATATACCGTTACCAAAAACTTTGGAGCGCATGTAGTATGCCTCGAGGCGGTAGTGAGGCGCGCCTCACTATGAGGCGCATGTAGTATGCCTTGAGGCGGTATTTTTGAGGCTAAAAATATGAGGTTCACGCCTCTAAATCTGAGGCGCACGCCTCAAGGTGAGTGCCTCATAAAGCATGAGGCGTGCGCCTCATTTAAAATTTGATTTTTCAATTGTATAAAAAAAAATCGGAAAGGGCGTTCTTAAAAAAGAAAAAAGCCCATTTGAAAAGGCATTTTGGGCCCCAAACAAAACAATAAAATATTTAGAAAACTAAACGGCAGCCAAAAATTAGAGGACCAAAAAGAGAACAGATTCAACAGAAATTCAAAAGTCAGAATTCAAGAAGTGTATCGTTTTCTTCATCAGTTTATCAGGTATGTTTTTCCTCTTTTCTTTTTCTTTTTCTTCTTAGAGTTCAGTAAATCTTGCATGCAATTAGTTTTTTTTTAGTTTAAGCTGCTTCTTTTTTTTTCATTGCAAATGGAGTGATTTCTGACTTCTATAATGCCTTTTATTTTGCTAAACATCTTCTTTCTTTATGTGGATTATATCTCAATATGCTAATGGCTATATATCTTTTTTACTATATGCTCCAACTTTGATTTTTTTGCATTATTTTATAATTCTTTTACTTGGATTTTTTGTTTTTTGTGAGGCTTACGTCTCAATCCGAAGAAAAATCGCTTCAGTACTTAGTTTCGCCTTTTTAAACCTTAACTTGTACTGTAGTACATGTAGATGGAGAAAATAACATATATAATGATGGAAAAGAAAACATCTGCGTAAAATTAGGGATGGTGGGAAATGGATGGGTTCATCATATTTATGGGCAAGGGACCAATTGTGAGGCTTACGCCTCAATCCGAAGAAAAACCGTCTCAGTACTTAGTTTCGCATTTTTAAACCTTAACTTGTACTGTAGTACATGTAGATGGAGAAAATAACATATATAATGATGGAAAAGAAAACATCTGCGTAAAATTAGGGATGGTGGGAAATGGATGGGTTCATCATATTTATGGGCAAGGGACCACTATGACAGTAGGAGGTGTTAAATATTAGTCTGTCTTCAAATGTGGTGAGTTTAGACATTCAATTCGATGAGGGCAGGTTCAAGGAAGTAGGAAAACCAATCAGAGAAATTCTGGATATCTGAATTCATTTGTGTATTATCTAAGTAGAAGAATAGCCAATTAAAAATGTATAGGAAATATATAATTTCTTTTTGTGTGAGACTATGACTTGTATGTTCTATGTAAAAACTCAATCATGGTTATCACTTGACTTACAAAGATCTTTCTCTTCTATTTGACAGAGTTTTTTGCTTGGATGGATTGTTGGTTCGTGGCCATTATTTTGGGCTCTTTTCATCAGTTTTGTACTTGGAACTGCATATTCCATCAATGTGAGTTCATTCTTTCACAGACACATTCTTCACGTCATTGGACAGAACAATTTATTACAGTATGTTGTCCTAATAAAAATATGAAACTGACGATTCCCCACTAGTCTTGTATTATATGTCGTCATGCCTGCAAGGATATGACATGTTGGATAAGCAGTGGTTATCCTTCTGAATGTTTTACTGATGCTGGAAAACTATATTCTTGGTTTTCACACTCTCAAACTTCAAAAGGAAAATGTTGTTGTATTACTCTCAAGGAATCCAATGTATGCAGCTAAAGGTAGAAAAATTAAAGAACATTCTATGGCAACATTGGCGAGATTCTATGTGTAAATTGTAATTAAAAAGAATAGTATTGCTGCTATTTTGTACGGATTGCAGGGGAGTCGAATTATGGTAACCCCTGTGCTAGATTGCACCGTCTATTTCAACCGATAAAAGATTACTCAAAACACGTAAAACAGATTGTGATTTCTAATTGGTTCATGGAGTTGGTTGCGAACATGATCTCTCTTTCTGCTATTTTAGATTATTTATTTAGCCCATGTTTGAGCCCCATTTTTTAAGAACTCATTTTTTCTCAAAATTCTTTTCTACCACACATTCTCCCAATAAAATAATTCTATACTTACACTCAAAACTTTTTTATACTTTTTAATCATATTCTTAAAAAAATCTTATAAAATCTATTCTCCAAAAAAGAAGGGCTCAAACAAACCCTTAATTTTTGTTCTCAACCTTGAGCTCTAGAGGACTCCTTACCATATTTAATTTAGACTTTCAAAAACTTTTATAGTGTTTGGAAGTTTAAGTGTATTTACTATAGACTTTTTAAACGCTGAAAGTTTTGGGTATTCAATATAGACTTTTAAAAAGTCTTCAAAAGTTACGTGATATTCAATCCAGATTTTTAAAAATCCTGTGAAATTTAGGAATATTCAAAATGTCAATGACTTTTAATGACATTTTTATGAAATTCACCATGTAACAACTTTGAAGCAGAAGGTATCCTCACTTTGGAAGACTTTTAAAAAATAAAAACATCGTACAATTTGTGATTTTTTTTCTTTCTTCAATATTTCCCTTTCCTTTTTCCATATATGAACCTTAGAGTATGATTAATTACAAACTCTTTTATTCATAATATTTTTCTCTCTCCTCAATTACCCTAATTTTTTTCTTCCTCTTCTTCTTCAAACCCAAAGCCATGACTAATTAATAACTTTTTGTGAAAAATGATTAATATTTTCTCTCTTGAATGCGATTTTTTTTCTCTCTTCAATATTTCCCTAACTATTTTTTTCTTTCTTATTTTTTGCCGCTTTTCCATTTTTCATTAAAAAGAAGATAAATTTGTATTTGAATTCTTATCTAGTGGTTGATTGTAGTTTATTAATTAATTTCAACATGTTAACTAATCTTTTATCACTGTATTTTTTTTTTACCAGGGTGGGGTTTTCTTTTTTCTTTTGTTGCGAGGGTATATTGTGGGAAATTTATTTTTTCTTTTTGTCTAGATAAGCATGATTGCCTTTTTTCTCGTAAAACTGTTTTGATATGGCTTCAATTATTTTACTTGTTTCAAGTCTATATAGTGCAATACTTTGATGATTATATACAAGATTTTTTGTTTTAAGAAATTTCTATAAAAATCTTTTAAATTAGTCTATAAAAGTCTATCATAGTTTGAAAGTCTTTAAAAGTGATAGAAGTTTATAATTCTGTAGAATCTACAAAATTCAGTAAAAGTTCATGAACTCTCACTTAAAAGCAGTCTTTAAAAGTCTAGATTATGGAGATGTAGAGGCTTTACCTATCACAACCTTGCTGTTGTTAGTGTCATTTCAGGCTTACCATATAAAAAGTTCGCAAATCAAGATTACTTGTGTATATAGACCATTTTGAATGGATTCTTTGATATCTAAATTCATCTTTATCATGATAGTGATGCTCAAGTTATATGTAATGCCACATACATTCCTCAGTGATTCTAAATACTTTTGTACCTTTTCAGCTACCATTTTTGAGATGGAAGAGATTTGCATTTGTTGCAGCAATGTGCATCTTGGCTGTACGAGCGGTGATTGTTCAAATAGCCTTTTATCTGCACATCCAGGTGTTTAATTTTTCCATAACTTGATGTATCTTTATTATATGATATTTGATTTAAATAAATATGGTATGATTGTTTAAAAAGATCATTGACTGCACACTTATCACTGTTGTGTCTATGATTTTAGGAAAATGATGTCCAAAGGCTTGTTCAGAATTTTTGTCTATATTACTGACTTGTGAACTCTGACTTAATATTTGGTAGAATGCACTGATTGTGGTAATTATAAGTACAACAGATATCGTTTTGGACAACTACAATAGGACAGTATTGGGATTCTATGTGATAGGAAGATTCATATAGGGAATGATTAAACTTGATGCTTTATAGTTTCGAGTGTTGGGCTGTTAAATGATTGTTTATAAGATGAATGTAGAAGAAACTATGATGCTGAAGTGGATGCATAATCATATTAAATAGGTAAGATAAAAAATAAGAATATACGTCAAGAAGTGGAGGTGGCATTGATTGCGGTAATTTAAGAAAATGATATTTTAATGGTATAGGCATGTTTTGCATCAATCTAAAAAGGTTCAAGAAGAGTGATTAGCTAGAGCAAGTTAGAAGAGAGATCAATAGATCAAAACTAACATGACATGTATAGTTGTTAAGGATCTAGTTGCTTTAAAGCACATCCAGTAATGAACTAAATAAGAATGGTGAAAATGATTCATGTTGCTAACTCCAAAATTTATTGGAGATGAGACTTAGTTTTTTGCTATTATTAGTTATCCATGTGAACATACTTCTGACATCTTTGTAACACGGACAATTCAACTAGGGTAGCGTGTCGGATAGCGATACTTCTCAGACACTATGTCATAGTCATTTTTTTTTATCAAATATATTATATTTTTAACTCGAAATTATTATTAAATAACAAATAGGTACTCATATTTAAAAGATTTTGACAAAAAAAAATAAAATTAATAACAAGTATAAAACTAAATTTATACAATATAAATGAAGAATTTTAAAGAATTTAGTCGAAGTGTCGATAACATGTTATGTCAGTACTTTTTTGAAAAATCTCGTGTACTCACGTGTCCATTTTGGTGCTTCATAGTCCGAAATAATAACAAAGGTAGGCAACCCATTAAAAAATGGCTAAGTTATACGTCTCATCTCCAAGTTTCTAATAGACTCCTGCACTTATGAATGATTCCTGCATAAGAGATGAACACAGCAAGGAAGATACCAACACCCAAATGATGTAAAATACCATTTGATATATTGTAATAAAAGAACTTCGATTACAGTAGCTAGGTAGATGCAGGAATTGCAGAGATTTACTGCTATGTAAATGTACTCAGCAACAAAGAAATGAAATAAATGGTATTTGGCTTTTCGAGAGAGCCAATTCTCTCCCTCAAAACTATACTCAATTTCCCTTCCCTTTATTCTTATTTTCCCCCTTATTTATAGATTGTGTGATCCCCATATTGTGCTCTAACTGCCTATATAACCAGCCTCTGAATTGTTGTAACAATAGACCATGTGATTTGTTGTAACTGTCTGGCTCATCCTGCCCTTGCTGTTCCCTATGCTCTTTACTTACACAATTTGAATTGAGTTGGTGTTCTATCAGTTTCACCCTCTTGTTACATTTTTACCCCCAATATTTATTTGTATGACTTTTAACCTCAACGGACGCAAGTGGTATGCATGCTGGGCAGTGAGTTGTGCATGTGATACTCTAAAGAATGGCCAAAAAGACAGTGGTTGTGGAGGTAATGTGGATGTTGGCAAAGGTTTTGGGGCTTTGGGGTGGGTGAAGGGAATAGGGCTGGGCTGGGTTGAAGAAGGCACTTTTGATTCTTTTTAATTTCATTTTTATTTTTTTAATATCATTTTTGTACTATGTTTTTTTTTTAATCAGTAATATGGACAAAATTATCTTTTTGTCATTCTTTAGAATATCGCTTGCATCGCCCACAGCCATGCGTGCATAACACTTGCGTCTGTTAACAGCAAAGACTCATGGAATCAGTCATCGATAACAAATAGCATTAATTGATGAAAGGTTGAGGTTAAAAGTCTTACAAAAAAAGGTTGGGGTAAAGTGTAACAAGGGTTAAAGGTTGGGGATGAAACGTATAATTTAGCTAAAAATTGACTAGGATTGCAGTTCTAACCTTTGAGGGTGAAATTTTCAATTTACTAGTTATTGTAGCCTCAATAAGAGGTTGGGGAGGGATTCCTCATTTCTTGTGGTATGTTAAATTATGATCTATATTGCTGCTATTTCTTCACTTAGGTACTAAAGTATTTTACAATTTTCAGATGCATGTTTATGGAAGACCTGCTGTCTTTTCGAAGTCTGTGATTTTTGCAACTGCCTTCATGAGCTTCTTCTCAGTCGTCATAGCGTTATTTAAGGTAAACTACGTTTCTTTCACCCTGAACATGTTTACCTTATGAAATTTAATTAAATCTACGGAAGCAGGATTTTCTTATTGCATGCAGTGTATGTGTATTTAATCATGAATGCAAACCTAATATGAGTAGGGTATTGCTCTATATTGGTAATTACATATGATGAATGTAAGTGGGTGCTTGTAACCCTATTCAGCACATGAACTCTTCAATGATTGTAGAGTACAGTGTTAAATTACTCCGAATATAACTGCCGAACAAAGAAGTCAGACTAAAGAATTACACTTTTTTTAAGCAATCCAGACTTAATACAGAATTGTGGAACAAAAACAATGACCAAGCTTCTAAAATCTCATTGACTGATGTATCCTGAAGTTTTTGTACACTCATTTCCCCCATTTGTGTTGAACATTAAACTTAAATGAATAAATATATTCATTCTCTAATAGTTTAAACCTTTAGATGAAGTGGGTTTAACACGGTCTCAGAGTATGCAAGGTTTCAAGTCTGCTGCCATTCATTTATGAAAACTAGGCATGCCTTTGTTGAACTTGAATTAATCCAGCTTGCACATGCAGGGATGCATGAAGACTAAATTTAAGTAAATTTTCCTCTCTAAAAGCTTAAGCTTTTAAATGAGGTGGTTCAAGAGGTCAAATGCTTAAACATGGACTGGTGCGGGTTTCTTTATCTCATTGAGTGGCCAGTTTTCAATTTCATCAACAAAGGTCATAATTGAATCGATGTAGATTAATAATTTCAGCTAGTTTCTAGACAAACAACCTTGGGCATTTGTAATGGTTGATTCTCTTATCCATCGGATTGACAAAGTTTGGTCCATAGCTTTTATGTTTGCAGTTTTAGTGTGTTATGTTTTGTTGTCTATGATAGTGTGAAATGAATGAAGATGGTTGGAGCGAACTGCTTGTCATGCGTCAATTGCCCTTTTTATTCTTACATGAACTACATTTTCTTGAGACATAGGAGATATGATTCGAAGAATAATTATCTTTTCATAATCTTAGGTTTTTTTTTTTTTTTAAAATGTGTGGTTAAAAAAGAAGAAAAAATTATTAATGTGATGGAAAATATTATTTTATTGAAGAATGTGTGGTTGAAAATGAGAATTGATTTACTGTAGAATTTGAGAATCTCTCCCAAACACCCCCTATATATTTTATCTTAAACTTCGTGCAAATGCATGGAGGAGGATTGTCACATGGAAAGGTGAAGTTGGAAAACTAAATAACATCCAGAAACTAATGTAGCAAAGTTATAGCGCAGAGTAGTCTAATTCAATACTCGACTTCGAACTAGATTATAAATTACAATAGAGTTCAACAACGTAGAAATTTAGCATTCAAGTTAAGGTTTCATTATTGAAAACCATCTAAGTCTTTCTCTAGCTGAAAAGTTCAAACTGTTTTTGGTATTTTTGACTTCCAGGAAAAACAAAGTTAATGTACAGAGCCATCGTGAGTTCTATGAAATCTTTGAACCATATCATGTTACTGTTGGGTGATTCAAAACCCAACTATCAAATAAACTTTTCGCTGGAGAGATAATAATATCTAAACCAAAACCGATATAAAAAAATCGTGAAAATTCAGATAAACTTACCTATATATTTTATGGGCAATATATCCCTCCTTTACTTGATTGTGCTTATGTGAAGTGTTGCATCTAGAGAAATTTGTTTATTCTTGACATTAAAGATTGATTTTGCAGGATATACCTGATATTGCTGGGGACAAGATATATGGCATTAGATCTTTTACCGTTCGATTGGGCCAGCAGCGGGTTAGTTACCAGTTAATGTCGAATTCAATTCTAGCACAAGCTTCTGTACTGTGTATTTTCTCTGATTGCACTAAGTCATTTTTGCAGGTCTTTTGGATTTGTATTTCGCTTCTTCAGATGGCTTATCTTGTTGCTTTGTCAGTGGGAGTAATATCAACCTGCATCTGGAGCAAATGGATAACGGTAATCTACTCTTCTTCGAATATTGTACATATTCACAATAAAGGGTTGTTACATTCAATTTGCAGAGAAACTGTAATGACATGTTTGGTAAGTTGGATTGTACGACACTTGACAATATTAAAGAAGAAAAAAGAATCTTTTAAAAAGAAGCTAAAATCTTGTTCATCATATTGTCCAATCCTGTCTAGTATTGCATATGATACATGATTCAAGATTTAGTCATTCGGAATATGATGTAGCATGTAACATACGAATAGAAAGAGAAGAAATTTATTGTAGACTGAACTTTGAAGGAATAACTCTTCTTATTTGATGATGCAATAGGCTTGCAGAACAATTTGAAGTCATTTTTTTATATTTTCCCAAAATCAAGATGTACAGGTAATATTAACAAAATAATGAGCAAAAAAATTAGAATTTTTAATAAATGCAGATGTTGAGACTAGTATCTCATCTAGCGCTCGGAATACCTTGTACCAAAAGTCGAAAGCTACTGCTAGATGGGCAT